CGGCTTTTCTTGGAGTTTGATTTCCCAGGAAAGTGGATTTTCTTGGAGTTTGATTTCCCAGGAAAGCAGCTTTCCCTGGAGTTTGATTTCCCAGGAAAGTGCCTTTTCCTGCTGCTCAATTTCCCAGGAAAGCTGATTTTCCTGACTTCCAAAGAAAACTGCTTTTCCTGGCTCCTAATTCCCAAGAAAAGCTTCTTTTCCTGGTGTTTAATTCCTAAATAAAGCTGCTATTCTTGGCTCCTGATTTCTCTGCAAAGCTGTTATTCCAGGTACCAAAAATTCCAGAAAACCTGCTTTTCCTGCCTTCTAATTTCCCAGGAAATCTGCTTTTCCAGGTGCCAAATTTCCCAGAAAACCTGCTTTTCCTGGCTTTTAATTTCCCAAAAATCCTGCTTTTCCTGCCTTCTAATTTCCCAGGAAATCTGCTTTTCCAGGTGCCAAATTTCCCAGAAAACCTGCTTTTCCTGGCTTTTAATTTCCCAAAAATCTGCTTTTCCTGGCTCTTAATTTCCCAGAAAACCTGCTTTTCCTGGCTTTTAATTTCCCAGGAAATCTGCTTTTCCTGGCTTTTAATTTCCCAGAAAACCTGCTTTTCCTGGCTTTTAATTTCCCAGAAAACCTGCTTTTCCTGGTGCCAAATTTCCCAAAAAACCAGATTTTCCAGGTGCCAAATTTCCCAGGAAATCCACTTTTCCAGCTGCCCGATTTCCCAGGAATATTTTGCGTGTGAGGGATTTAAAATCCCTTAAAAAACCACCGAGCTCCCCAAGATTCCCAAAGATCCAGGAGCAGGGAATTCCACCCTCATCCCATTCCCAAAAATCCCATTTCAATCTCCATTTCCCCGCCTTGACGCCATTCCCCGTTTCCCAAAATCCCAAAATCCAGATTCCATCCTGCCCTTGGGACATTCCCAAAGATCCAGGAGCAGGGAATTCCACCCTCGTCCCATTCCCAAAAATCCCATTTCAATCTCCATTTCCCCGCCTTGACTCCATTCCCCGTTTCCCAAAATCCCAAAAATCCCTCTCCAGCTTTTTGGGAACCTCTGGAAAAGGATTCTCCGATCTCCTTGGAGCTTTCCCTTCTCCAACTCAAAACTTTGAGGAATATTTCGGGGTGAAAAACCCCAAATTCCCTCTTTACCTCGTGGGATAAACAGATTTGATTGGATTTGATTCCCGATTTTCCGGGTTTTTCCAGGAGGAGGAAGCGGGATGAGGACAGGCACGACATCAACAAGATGAAAGGTTACACCCTGCTGTCCGAGGGTATCGATGAGATGGTCGGGATCATCTACAAACCCAAGACCAAGGAAACTCGGGAAACCTACGAGGTTCTGCTCAGCTTCATCCAGGCGGCCCTGGGGGACCAGGTGAGCCCGGAATCGGCTCCGGAATCGGCTCCGGAATCGGCCCCGGAATCCGGGAATTCCGCTCTGGGATGGGGGAATCCAGCTCTGTTGTCTCCCGTTGGGTTGGTGCCGTGTGGGTGTTTAGTTTTGGGTTTTAGGGATTCTGGGACAACTGCAGGTTTTTTGGGAATTTCTCACTCTCCTGGTCGGGAATTCCTTCCCAAAATTCCCATTAAACCAGCACATGGAATTCTGGATTGGTTTGGGTTGGAAGGAACCTTGAAGCCCATCCAGTGCCATCTCCAGCCTGGCTTTGGGCACTTCCAGGGATCCAGGAGCAGCTTTTCTGGGAATTTCTGCGGCTTCTCTGGGAATTTCCCACTCTCCTGAGCAGGAATTCCTTCCCAAAATTCCCTTAAAAACCAGCACATGGAATTCTGGATTGGTTTGGGTTGGAAGGAACCTTGAAGTCCATCCAGTGCCATCTCCAGCCTGGCTTTGGGCACTTCCAGGGATCCAGGGCACGGGATATCCTGTGTGGGATGGAAATTCCCATTTTTCCGGTTATTCCCATTTTTCCAGCCCCGGGATATCCTGTGCGGGATGGGAACTCCCCGTGCGTTATCCTGGGATATATCACGGGATGGGAACTCCCCGGTATCCCAGAATTCCCAGAATTCCCATTTTTCCAGCCCCGGGATATCCTGTGCAGGATGGGAACTCCCAGAATTCCCAATTTTCCGGTTATTCCCGTTTTTCCAGCCCCAGGATATCCTGTGCGGGATGGGAACTCCCAGAATTCCCAATTTTCCGGTTATTCCCGTTTTGCCAGCCCCGGGATATCCTGTGCAGGATGGGAACTCCCAGAATTCCCAATTTTCCGGTTATTCCCGTTTTGCCAGCCCCGGGATATCCTGTGCAGGATGGGAACTCCCAGAATTCCCAATTTTCCGGTTATTCCCGTTTTGCCAGCCCCGGGATATCCTGTGCAGGATGGGAACTCCCAGAATTCCCAATTTTCCGGTTATTCCCGTTTTGCCAGCCCCGGGATATCCTGTGCAGGATGGGAACTCCCAGAATTCCCAATTTTCCGGTTATTCCCGTTTTGCCAGCCCCGGGATATCCTGTGCAGGATGGGAACTCCCAGAATTCCCAATTTTCCGGTTATTCCCGTTTTGCCAGCCCCGGGATATCCTGTGCAGGATGGGAACTCCCAGAATTCCCAATTTTCCGGTTATTCCCGTTTTGCCAGCCCCGGGATATCCTGTGCAGGATGGGAACTCCCAGAATTCCCAATTTTCCGGTTATTCCCGTTTTGCCAGCCCCGGGATATCCTGTGCAGGATGGGAACTCCCAGAATTCCCAATTTTCCGGTTATTCCCGTTTTGCCAGCCCCGGGATATCCTGTGCAGGATGGGAACTCCCAGAATTCCCAATTTTCCGGTTATTCCCGTTTTGCCAGCCCCGGGATATCCTGTGCAGGATGGGAACTCCCAGAATTCCCAATTTTCCGGTTATTCCCGTTTTGCCAGCCCCGGGATATCCTGTGCAGGATGGGAACTCCCAGAATTCCCAATTTTCCGGTTATTCCCGTTTTGCCAGCCCCGGGATATCCTGTGCAGGATGGGAACTCCCAGAATTCCCAATTTTCCGGTTATTCCCGTTTTGCCAGCCCCGGGATATCCTGTGCAGGATGGGAACTCCCAGAATTCCCAATTTTCCGGTTATTCCCGTTTTGCCAGCCCCGGGATATCCTGTGCAGGATGGGAACTCCCAGAATTCCCAATTTTCCGGTTATTCCCGTTTTGCCAGCCCCGGGATATCCTGTGCAGGATGGGAACTCCCAGAATTCCCAATTTTCCGGTTATTCCCGTTTTGCCAGCCCCGGGATATCCTGTGCAGGATGGGAACTCCCAGAATTCCCAATTTTCCGGTTATTCCCGTTTTGCCAGCCCCGGGATATCCTGTGCAGGATGGGAACTCCCAGAATTCCCAATTTTCCGGTTATTCCCGTTTTGCCAGCCCCGGGATATCCTGTGCAGGATGGGAACTCCCAGAATTCCCATTTTTCCCGTTATTCCCGTTTTTCCAGCCCCGGGATATCCTGTGCGGGGCGGCTGACGAGGTTCTGGCCGTGCTGAAGAACGAGAAGCTGCGGGACAAGGAGCGGCGCAAGGAGGTGGAGCTTCTGCTGGGCCCGGCCGACGACACGCGCTACCACGTGCTGGTCAACCTGGGCAAGAAAATCACCGACTACGGCGGGGACAAGGACATCCAGAACATGGGTAGGGAAAATTGGGAATTCTGGGGATTTTTTGGGAATTTTTTGGGAATTTTTTCGATTTTTTTCCGATTTTTTTCGATTTTTTTTGCAATTTTTTTGCGATTTTTTAGCTATTTTTTGTGATATTTTTCTCATTTTTTGAGGGATTTTTTTCAGGTCTTTTTATGTTTTTAAACATTTTTCCATTTGAAATTCATTTTTGTTTTATTTGGGAATTTTTTGGGCATTTTTTGGGAATTTTTTGGGAATTTTTTCGATTTTTTTTGGATTTTTTTTGGACTTTTTTGGTATTTTTTCACAATTTTTTTGCAATTTTTTAGCTATTTTTTGTGATATTTTTCTCATTTTTTGAGGGATTTTTTTCAGGCCTTTCTTTGTTTTTAAAAAGTTTAAACATCTAGAACATTGGTAGGGAAAACTGGAAATTCTGGGAATTTTTGGGGAATTTTTTGGGAATTTTTTGGGACTTTTTTTAGATTTTTTTCCGATTTTTTTTTTCAATGTTTTCCGATTTTTTGGGTGATTTTGCATTCCATGGAATTCCCGATGAGTTCCGTGCCAAATCCCGGGAATTCCCGGAGAATTCCATGGAATTCCCAGTCAGTTCCATGCCGAATCCCGGGAATTCCCGGAGAATTCCGTGGAAATCCTGGTGAGTTCCATGGAATTCCCGGTGAATCCCGGGAATTCCCGGTGAGTTCCATGGAATTCCCGGTGGGTTCCATGGAATTCCCGGTGAGTTCCGTGCCAAATCCTGGGAATTCCCCGTCAATTCCATGGAATTCCCGGTGAGTTCCGCCGAATCCCGGGAATTCCATGGAATTCCGTGCCAAATCCCGGGAATTCCTTGTGAATTCTGTGCTGAATCCCGGGAATTCCCTGTGCATTCCATGGAATTCCGGGTGAATTCCGTGCCAAATCCTGGGAATTCCCGGTGAGTTCCATGGAATTCCCGGTGAGTTCCGTGGAATTCCCGGAGAATTCCGTGGAATTCCCGGTGAGTTCCGTGGAATTCCCGGTGAGTTCCGTGGAATTCCCGGAGAATTCCGTGGAATTCCCGGTGAGTTCCGTGGAATTCCCGGTGAGTTCCGTG